AAGTTGTGAATACATTGTGTGCCAATATAAATTAGTTTGAGAGAATGTGGTTGACTCTCAGTCATCCCCAAGACCTGCCTTTCGGGAACAATCTTAAAAAACAGATTCAAACGAACCAGCCCATAAATCGGACCCTCAGGCACCAACCTCAAGACGTGCCCATAAGGAACCAGTCCCAAATCTGGCCCCTCAGGAACCAGCTCAAAGAACTGCTGTCAGGAGCCCAGCCTGTGGAAATGTTCTACAGTGTGTATGAACCAGACATACTTGTATGTACTACAGACATATGTCAAATAGGAAACAAATGCAGCAGATTTATACTGAAATGCTTGAGGCCCCTAGTGTGTCTGGTGGGAAATAGTTTATCACTGTTTCTTCCATCACCAGTTTCTACCTCCAGTCTGTGTTGGTGGCTGGATTATCTCTCCAAGCCTTAGCCACCACATCTCCTTCTAGGTCTGCAAAGATGTTCATGTTAAATCAACGTTTCATGAAATGTAAAGCACTCCAAGTAAAAGTCTATTAACCTCCAGGTATCTGGAAACATGAGGACGAGGAACAAATACTTTAAGGGCTCATTAGACCTTTCATATATTGGTACCACTTTACAATAAGAGTACCCTTATAAAAGGGTTTACGAATAGTTTGTAATTCATTTATTAATTAGGTTGTGAACACTTTATAAATCCTTAATAAGCTTTTATAAGACATGAGATAAACAGGGCAACTGTGACCGGTTGCTTGCCAAATAGTGAGCCCACATGTATCTGTACTGCTAAGCCTTATTATAAATGGTTGTAACTCATTAATAAATGGGAATGTGTTTTACACTTTACAATAAGGCTCCCTTTTGGCAACTATAAATGTTAGTAACTCGTAAATAAATGGTCATAAAGAGATGCCAAGAAACATCAAGATGGAAGGGGGGAATCAACTCAGTGCACAACAGATACTGTACCAAGGATGCTGGCTGATGAAGAAGACGAAGTAAGCTAGGTAGCCAATATAAGGCTTAGTCATCTTGCCAAATAGTGAGCCTGTGTTGTATGAAAACTATGTTAGAACTGGTTTATAAATGGTTCTTAAGGATTAATAAAGTGTTTACAACCTAATTAATAATCTAATTAGAAACCCTTTATGAATCCTTTATAAGGGTAGTCTTATTGTAAAGTGGTACCCATATATTTAACTAAATCCACAACCTTTCCAAAACATTAACCAAAATATTGTGGGAACCCGAGTCTATGAATTTAAAATCCTGCACTCTGCAAACACAACCATCAACATCTTACAATGTCTCCCTGTATCTCCTGTGTACAGGTTCATCGCAATTTCTTGGAGCAAGATCAGATGAAGGATTTGCCTCGCTGCTCTTTTTCAGTCTAACAATGTGCTGTCCACTGATGACCATTTGTTGTAAAATGGAGGTCCCTGCACCAAGCCATCTCTGTAACAATAGCCAATTAAAGCACAAGCTTGTCTCTATTTATTTGTATTCTTCAAGCCTCTAAAGCTTCCCTTTGTATCTCCTTTCACCTTGCTTGTTTATTTTTGTCTATCACCCCCCTGTCGTTGCCCCTTTTTGAGTAAATCCTCTACAGGAGAAATATGTAGTTGCATTATAATTGGTTCCCAAGCACCCATTCCAAAAGTATCAGTGGTGCAGCACCTCGACCTGGAAGACAGTTCCCAGCAAAGATAAGTAGGAAGTATTACGGCTGTTGCGCAAACAAGATCAACGACATGCTTGGACGTGCTTCTCAATATTTGGAGTTGGGGGAGCGTACCTGGGGCAGCTCTGAGACTCTTGAGATAATGAGTAGAGGCACAGAGCATGCCAGAGATACAGCTGTCACCTAATGGACAATTAGGTACCACAAGGCGAGACAAGAGGAGACGACGGGGTCAACAGAAAGTAAACTCTGAGGAGGGATTATTGGATGATTCTTTGGTAGGTAATGATGCATTCAACCCTTTTCATTAGTTAACATGTACACACATTGCTGGTAAGGGCAATAAAGGTTCTTCAAACATTTGAGCATACTGCTCTAGAGAGAATCCAACAACATGAACCCGTCACAGCACCGAACAACCCTGCTTCAGTGGAACCTAAACAATTGTGTAAATCATTTCATTACTCATAAAATAAACACAATAGTTTCTGCAGTGGACAAGCCATTTTCTGGTTTGACACCCTGTGTGTTATCTGTTCTTTAGTGGTTAAGGCAATATAAGGGAGGCTGTGGCTCAGTGTGCAAATGGCTCCTGTGGGGATTGTCCACAGTACTGAATGTATGTAAGTCGCTTTGGATAAAAGCGTCTAACAAATGACATGTAATGTAATATAATAGACAAACGGGATTGCGCAAGGGTTGGAAAAAAAAAAAAATGTTCAGGTAAAAACTGTACAATTAGCAAGCGGAATTGATGCACCGTCGTTTGGTGGACATGTAGAGCAAAATATAGGCAATTAGGCTATACATAGCAAGACTAAGATTGAAAAAGTGTCGAGTTCAGTGAGAAACCGTTCCTCCCGCAATTAAAGAAGAGGCAATCAGAATGGATTAGGCTGCATGCAAGATCTTTTCTTAACCACATCAGTATTTAGAGCAGCATTAACACTTATTTATGACTGGTAAGAGTGATTTCTGAGAGTAAAATGTAGGAACACCATATTTCCTAAAGAAGACAGTACTGGAGTTGCTGCTACAAGCATGACAGCTTACCAAAAACTCTGACAGAATGAATGAATTTGTAATAAAGAAGAAGAGGAGAAGCTTATTTCAAGTATGTGCACACATTGTCTGAACCGTTTCCTTATTCTGTGAAAGATATTTCATTAAAGGACATCAAAAGTTCTTTCTGTCTCCTTAATCTCTTTCTGTGGCTTTGGCAGAGGCTGTCTGTAGCTTCATTACAGCTGAATGTCACAGGTAGACCGGGCCAGTCCCTGCTAATTGGTTGGTTTATGGTCAATGCAGGGGATAAAGGGACATTACGCTGTGCGTTCTGTTCACTCCTGACCTCTTGTACCTGTCTAGGTGCCTGGCAAGAACATGACTCTTCCCTTGAGGATGGATGACTAACCCGAGGACACAAATAAAAAATACCGCACAGCATGACCTGAAGAGACAAAGAGTGAAGACAGATGAGAAGTAAGAGGCATATTTTTAATGAGGAAAATGAGAGGGTGGTGGGATGCGGTGCTCGCTGCTGATGAAAGAGGAGATTAAGAGGTGATAGAAGAGGAGGGAGCAGGGTAGGGATGTTGTGCTTAAGGGAGAAGCGGAAGAACAAAAAAAGGAGGAGGCGGCGGCAGTAGTGGAGGCAGAGGAAGGACATGAGAGAAAGTGACAAGGAGGTGCGTTTTTTCTTACTTTTTTCAAAAGTTTTCAAAGTTTAAATAGACGGTAAAGTTGGGAAGAAGATGTCTGCGAGCGTTGATCGTATCTGCAAAACACCCCCAGGTTGGAATAAAGAGACAGTTCGGGAGGCTGAATCATGCAGCTGCTATACTTAATCAGTAGAATGGCCATTGCAGTTTGCATGTGAAAGTGGGATGTGGAGAGATTGAAGTTATTTTTATTTAGATCATACCGAGAGTGGCTTCCTCCCCCTCTCACAGAATAGGTGACATCCTTTAAAGAACAGCCAAAGTCTCCCCATTTCCTGTGATTATGTTCTCATTATTGTGTTAACTGTCGTGTCAATCTGTAATAAAAAGTGTAGAGATGAATGACTGCGGAGCGCAGAGAGTGTAAAAGTGGAGCAAAATTGGCAACTTTGATCGAGGTAAAATTAGCACAGTATGTGGAATAGTCAAAATGGTATTTCCTTATACATACAGTATATTGCTAACTAACTTGAATGAAACAGTAGTTAAAACAGTAATATGATTTATTACGGGGTAAATGCTTTCATCGTATTACATTATAAGGAATTCTAAAATATATCATTAAAATTAATAGAATAGACATTATTATAATCTTTCTACATCCAATTAACATGGGAAATGCCAAGGCAGCAGCATGTGAAAGCAAAGCAGGGTGTCCTTATTTTTCTCTTCAACAGCAACACAATGGGACTACCATGCCTTAATAAAATGGTAGCATCCTTAGGAAATGTAGGAAGGTATGAAATAACATTGGGCAAGCTGTCTCACACTTTAGAAAGTACTGGGGGAGACCCAGAGCTTGACCAATATAACTCGCAATAAGTACAACTAAACAAAAATCCCAACAAAGTAACAATATTGGAAATAGTATAAAAAGTGAGGAGATTATATTCGTATTATTTACAAGTGGTAACCTCTGGGTCTAAAAAGTAAAGACATGGAGTGGTGCAGAAATGAGTCCTAGAAATGACTTTGTGTTTTACCATTTCCGGTTCCCTCGTCTAGAAGTCTTTGTTTTTTTTTACGTGTTTTTGTTTAAGCGCCTGAATTAAGGTCTGAGCTTTACACAATCTTGTAAGATTTTCATGTTTTGTTCCAGGACATAAAATACGTCAGTAAACACCAGAATCTGAAATGTCCAAAGCTTCAATGGGTCATAAAAACGTCTGTTGCGAACAAAGTGACTGAACTGTGTTATCGCTCTGCGATCCTGTGTCAATTCAGGTTGATGGTTCAAAAAAACAATATGGATAATGCCAAAAACCAAGATGGCAATGGCTAAAATGCACAAACTTAAAGCTTGAACACCATAGTTAACAAACAAACAAGTGACGTCAAGATGACTCTATTTCTTTAGAGTGCATGGACTTTACACTATGGCCATTGAGCAGTGTTCTTTATGGTTGTCAAAACCCTACAACACTTCCTCTGTCTCCAATGTGGCCTAATTGCCACCTGAGGATTCAATGTTCAGTAATGATTGGTTACTGCAACCTGTGACCCATAACGTGACCCCCTAACATGGACTTTAAACATACCATATTTGTAATTTTAAATGCAGTTCCCTTAATTGTAATGATGTTAGTGCAGTAGTGCTAGCACTTACTCTCTGTATATCCAAGGTGAGCTGCAGCAGCGTTGGAGACGCTGTGGCTCGCAGAGTCTCCGTCCCTCTGACTGGAGAGTTCAGACTGACGTAGGCCACGGCACTGCTCTGTAGGACAACACTGTTATCCTGAAGGGAACACACACACACGCACACACAGTTTATCATCATTACTCTGCCAATGATATTCCTTACAGTATCATGGTTGTCTGGTCACAATTTTGTCATTATAATTGTATTAGGTTGTAATGTAATTCAATCAAATGCAATACTTTTTATTTATTTATTATTATTTTTATGATTTAACCATTAATCCTTTGTTACTACATGGATTAGGGAAACCTGTACTACTTATGTATAACATTTTTATATTAAACTGGGCCAATAATGTGTAACACCCTACATTTCAATGTTTAAACACATTTCTTATTGATGCATATGTAGCCGTAATGAATTAGTTTCCAGGTATGAATAAGTGCTGATTTAGAACAGATCAGCTAACTGTGACTGCACGATGAAATCACAGTTAGCTGAAAACAATCATTTTAAAGCAAATAAGCTGGTTTGTATTTGCCAATAATATGTTGGACTCATATAACTGTAAAGTGTTTTTCAGACATAGAAAGAAAGAAAAAACGATTTAGTGCCCCCCTACAGTGACTGTGAACAGAATTGAGGACGCCCTGGGGGTCCTCCTGTTAAAGAACAACACTATAGAGTTATTTTCAGCTATACTGTAATAGAGTTACATGGGAATATAAATTAGAAGTAGTCAATTATAAATGAGAACTACTCAATTGGTGGATTGTTCTTCAAATCTATTATTCCTATCCTGAGAGAAAACCAAAGGAACTCCCACTGTTTTAATCCCCTTTTCTCTTTTTAATGTAAATTCTGTCCACATACATTTTCAAAAGCTGCTGTGTGAACCTTCTCTTCATCATTTTGATTAGTATTTGGCCCATAGCTTGCTAAATGCTAACAAGCCCTAGCAGTAGCATATGTTGGAGCTTTTTTTTGTATTTCTTTCTTAAATACATGAAAAGGTCAACATCTTTGACCTGTGTGTTGACATTTAATAAAACAGATGCACTTGTGCCTGCTGACCTTTCCCCACTCATAGGACCCGATGTTCCCCAGGGCTGAGCCCCCCCACGAGCAGAACACAGTGGTTCGGTCTGGCACCCATGCCTGTTTGGTCTGCTCTGTCAACGCCGCGATCAGCTGATTCATGATGGCTGAAGCTCCGCCTCCCTGGTCGCTGTCATGACGACTGCCAACCAGCACATAGCGATCTAAGAAAATATAGAATGAGAAGTGAAGATACATGAATGCATCTTTTTCTTTGGCAGCAGGTGAATATTGCTACTGTAGCACATTTAGAAAAATAAAAAAGAGAAATCCCCAATACAGTCACAAGCAATAACTGGGGTTATAGATGTGTTGCTAAGCAATCATCTGCACTAATATGAAAACATGTTGTAGTTTCCAATTCTATTCAGAACAAATGTGAAAGATAATGAAACGTGAGCAGACATGAAATATAAAGATAAAAAGTGAAGCTCCACACAAGCTGTCAGCCTCAAAGAAAATTGGTACATACTTTTCAACTTTTTAAAAATGAACATTAAGACCAAAAAGCCGCAAACCTGCTTTCACTATCACTGATAAAGCAGATTCTCTGCACCACCGTAGAAACTATTAGTTTGGAAAACAAAGGCTTAATGAAAGAAAGCAATGTGTCTTAACCATGTATATCACTTCTATAACATTTGAATTCCATAATTATCCGAGGTTTTATTTTCCTTTAGTATAATTACATTTTCCGAACGGCTGCTTATTTAAAATTTGAATTGAAGATGCAAGAACAATTTCAATTAAATCCTATAGTCTATTTTTCAAAACTAGTCAATCATCTCTGTGGTCATTTTCAAAGAGAGATGAGGCTGCCTGTTGCATTGACGATAATTCCATAACATATTTTAAACAAAAAAGCAATTTGTTGTAATTTTTATAACCTCTTTAAAGAGCCTATTACAAAGTCTATTGTTATCTTTGAATATAGGTTGCCCCTTGTTGCATTGAACTCCAGGGATTTAATTAATGAGGGATTCATGCTAATGTTTTGTGCCGTTAATTATTGGTACTGTGACCCTGTTTTAAACCTTGAAAATATGTTTTGGAGGTCATGGTATCAATCGACGTGCCATGAAAAGAGAAACAAATGGAGAAGAGTAAATGTAAGTAAAGGATAAAATGCAACGAGGTAGTCATTAATGAAAAAATAACACCCAATCACCATGAAGGGTTTTGACAAGGCCACGCCTCAAAATATTGAAAAAAAGTAATTACTTGACAAAAAATGATTTGACTGCTTCCACTAAGAAAACAATGGTCCGTTCAAGCAACGTAACTTAGGAAAGAGGACAGAACTGAACAAGGTTTTCTGTAACTGTCCAAGCCTCTTCACATTTTATTTTCCATGAACCAGTCTCTAAACACTGACAGAGCTCATTCCGTGTTCCTGTCAGTGTTTACTTCCTGTCTGTCTTCTTCTGCTGTTCACTGTCTAGTGTTTAATTCCTGTCTGTCTTCGGCCCAATTCCAAACCACACCCTACCCACTCCCACTCCGTGACGGAGTGAACTCCGTGGTGAAGTGCCACTCGCAGCTTAACGAGGCTCCCTCCTATCAGATGGAGGGTGTAAATACAGCAGCAAGCTTTGGGACGAACTCCCCTCTCTCCGGCAGAAACAGGAAATGCCGTAACTGTATGTAACAATGGTTTCAAATCAGCATCTCTTGGACAAAAAATAAGAATTAATAACTAAAATAAACTCCAAACATCTTTAATTGTGTTACTTTTTTCTAAAGCTCTTTTAGTTTTAAACCTGATGTTGATAAGCTTCTTAGTTTTTGCAACAGTCTGTAAATATACACAATTTATAATAAAATGCACACATTTACCTTTTTCTAGACTAAACACAGGTACGATCCTAAGTTAAAAAAATATGAGGTTATCATGAGGTTGTTAACATCGCAGTTTATCAGTGGATGTTTGCTGGAACTACTTATAAACAGCTTGTTTCCTGACGGACACACACAGCATTGAGTTCGGTCATGTAGGGCAGCAGGTGAAGTCAGCACCGATGCAGACTCGCTGTTTGAGGGCTTGATAACCCACTCCCCCTCCACACTCGTTGCTTTGGAACAGCACTTAATGTGGCGGACCCTCCGCACGAACGCGCAAACGGAGGGGTAGTGTGTAGGGGTAGGGTGTAGGGGGTGGATTGGATTTGGGCCTTCTTCTGCTGTTCCCTTTAGTGTGTACTTCCTCTCTGTCTTCTTCCCTTGATTTTTCTGACATCCAGCGCTCTGTCTTTTAACCTCTTTCCTTCTCTTGCGCTGTTTTTTTTTTTCTTTACTGGGGATAGTTTAGCCTTCATCAATCCAAATGTCATGCTGCATGCAATGTTTTTTTGGCCGCTGCCGACTTTAAATTGACCTTTCTGTAGATGTATATGACTGCACATTAATCAGAATGACGTCCTTAACGGCCTACTAACAAAAAAGAGCAGAATGAAGAATATTCGAAGCCGTCATGAACATTTTTGGCTCTCGACAAATATCAATGTGAATATTAAAATAGTATACCATGAAGATTTCGGATGGAGAAAAATATTTTCTGTTTTCAACATTTGCCGTTGAATCAACCGGACTACTTTCGGTGGATGGATTTTTCCTCAGCAGCAGTGTGTGATTGAGTATTATCTACCTCTGAACCATGCAAATTGACCAATCAGGATCGAGTATTCAACTAAGCCTTGTATTAAATAGATTTATAAAATGGAAATATATAATACTATAGCTCAGTAAAAGTATTGGTAAAAAGGGTATTCAAGTACAGTGTCTATGTTTGGTTTCCCTTACAAACACTGACTCACGAATGCCCCAGGCCTCTTTGCACACCTTACATTGTCTACAAAGGGACTGTTGAGGGTGGATGCACAAAGCAGCTTCCTGCAGGCGGAGGGAAGAAGAGAGCAAAGCTCATCACTCCAGCACAGAGCACTGATGACTTTGTTTGAGAAAAGAGGTGCTTAGAGAAGCCTGCTAGCTTAGCCGCAGAAATCTGACAACACATTATTGCACAGAGAGCAGCTTGCAGGGTAAATCAACCATTACTGTAAACTGCTTGGAATCAGTCATATGTGAAAGCTTTATTAGCTTATTTGTTTCTATTTACTTGTAAATGTTTGTCATGGGTATGCTTATTGTTCAGGATTCACACTAATGGTTAAATGAAGCATTCATAAAAAAGCATCAGTAATCTGTCTTGTGTTTTCACTGCCCTTGACAAATTGACATTGATAGTTCAACAGGCAGAGTTTGTTTAATCGATGATGGTTGATTTTTCTTTTCCTATATTTTTTATTATTTTCACAGTCTGTGGCTGTGTTAAATATGTAATAAAGAAATAATCGTCATAGGTAGGTCATTAACATTTAAGTTGAATACTCAATGCTGTTTGGTGAATATCGAACATTCTGCAATCTGCTCTTTTTGTTAGTAAACCGATTAGACATTTTGATTAGGTGAATATCAATTCGCAGACAGAAGTTCGGTCAGTTTAAAGTCAGTGGTCAGGTTCTCCATTAGAAAAAAATCATGGAATGCTTGTTGAAATACACTTTTTATATTTGTGGAGAGCACAACATTTTGGATTCATGATGGCTAAACTGTTCGGAGAAAAAGAAAAGAAAAAAAGAAGAAGAAAGGAAAGAGGTTAAAAGACAGAGCGCTGGACATCAGATAAATCAACAGAAGAAGACAGACAGGAAGTAAACACTACCAGGAACAACAAAGGAAGACAGACAGGAAATAAACACCAAGCAACTCTGAATAATGGCATAGCAGTAGTTGATGGAAACAAGTGTTATTTAATATTTTTGTTTTGCCTATATTTTGAGTTAATTTGTGCAATACATTTAGATCGAAACATGGCTGTTTTTAATATAAACTCTAATGTATCCTACTGTAATGTAGACTCTCTGTGACTTTGGCATTAAATACAACCTTATCTTCTGATTACAGTGTGTATTGTTGCAGCCTATGATATATTCATTCCCATGAGTCAAAACCGTTGCGAATGTGCATGCATTTTCTTTCTGATTAGGGAGGAGATAAATGAGCTGTGAAGAGACATATGATCAAACAGCAACAACCAGTAAAACTGTCACTCCTTCCAGAGAGTTGTGGCCCAGATTATCTGCTATAGTGGCCCATTATTGCTTCCTAATATCACACTGTAAATCAGCAAGGTAATTTTCCACCAGTGACTAGGCAGGACAGGTACAGAAGCTGTATGCTACAAGTAGAGGGGGAGGGCGTGAGACAAGGACGACTGTGGGGCGAGGCAAGGGCGACATGCTCTGCAGAATGACAATGGATAAAGGTAAGGGCAGAGGGAGCTGAGCAGAGAGGGCTGGGCTGCTATTTCAACATTAAAAGGACATAATGTGTTTGGAAATGACCCGAGCCGATGCTTAACTGGGACGAAAGGAAAATAAAACGTTTAAAACAAAGGTCAAAGCCTTTAACCTTTTCTATTTTATGTACTGCACAGCTCCCATTGTCCACTCTCACCCATCATTTCAATGCAGCAGCCATTTCGTCAAAAAGAAACTAAATACATCTGATAATCCACTGTTCACTGCCTGTACCGCACCAGATAGGAAATAAATGCTGGTGAACCTAGTTCCTTATTATGCTGCTTATTTTCTTTTATGTGACTTATTTAAATACTCCAATAACAGATAAGTGTTAACATTCAGAAAATTGGTGACAGTTGTTTTTCCGTAATAAAAAACAGAATATAAATAAATAGAAAATGTTTACATTCGGAAAGCTAAAACCGGAAAGTCAAGGTATCTATAATTTTCTTTACATTTCAATCAATCATTGATAAATGTGTAAGTTCCATTCAGAAAGAAAGGGGAGAACTCACAAAAGGATTGTGCAGTTTAAACGTGTCATTCTGCAACTCATTCATGTAATGACAGCTGTGTCAGGAAAAGCACATTTAAAATATGAATGAGGAAAAATAAGCAAAAAATGAATACAAATAAAAAAGTAGCCTATAGGACTGTCCTGCATGTTTCGAGCTTCCAATGTGCGTTGGTAAACTACACTAGGTTAAACTCAGTTTTCGAGTGCTTAATAGCAGTAATTCACTGTATCAATACCAAGATTTATAGCAAAAAAAACCTGAATTTTACTTGTGTTATTTTGGCATGTTTAAAGGTCACCTTTTATGCAAAATGCACTTTTTGATGTGTTTTATACATAAATATGTGTCCCCGGTGTGCCAGGGAACTCACAAAGTGTCAGAAAATACAACCCTCTCTTTTCCTCCTTACCCACATCTTTAAAAACGGGGGAACAACGGAGCTGATCCAGATTTGCTGCGGCCATGAAGATATTACTGAAATGTGGGCTGGCTTTACTTTGACCTCCTGGCAACATCCCACACACGGCCAAACCTATCATCCCCATATACAGCCGGCTAGCTGAATCCCCTCCTGCAGCTGTGTGTCTGTGTATTCAGCAGGTTCTAGTGGTAAACACTAACTAAAGAACATGTCAAGCTATGTGCTGTATCAGAAACAATGCGCAACATGTTTTGGAAGTAATATGGTCTGTGTTTACATTAGCGAGCATCGCTAACACTCGGAGCTAACGCAGTACTTGAGAGAATATGTGTGAAGAAGCCGGATATAAAAGGTACTGTCCTTGTGGTAAAGACAGAGAAAGCGTTTGAGCTCCATACTTTTTCAGAAATAACCCTTGATGTGGTTTGGAACATGATATGGCGTTTAATCACAGCAGCGTTTAGCTGAATTTCTGCTGGTACACAGCCTTCTCTTCCCATAGCTCACTGCTTGCATGCGGACGCTCCAAGGGGGCGTGGCCAGCAGCAGCTCGGTTACATTTAAAGGGCGAGACCCAGAATCAGAACTTTTGTAACAGGGCTGAAATAGAGGGGTATGAGGCATGGCTAGAATGGGTGATCTGGTTGGTATTTTGAGCAAAACACTTCAGAGACATGTTTTGAATAGATATGGCCCTATAATATATTGTTCAAATATAGTATAATATGGGACCTTTAACACTACTTATGCTTATTGTGTAAATTGCCCAACATATGACAGTTAGCATTCGACAGTTTCTATGTACTGGGGACCCGTACCATACATTTAGAAATGTATAGTATACAACCTCCACAACAAAGTTTTATGATAGAACTATCATACGACTATTATTCATATTTACTTTATCTATAAATGGACGCAAGATTAATGTTGGCTATTAACCTTTTAACCATATATTCGCTTTCTTTTTTTAGCTGCTTATCTTAAACTAAACTTAATAGTGAACAGTGAACATGTTTCCGTTAATTAAGACTACAATTAGATCTTTAAAAAAACTGCAGAGGATGTGTACAAACCTGGGTTTCTCTTTCCTTTCAGGTAACCGACAACATTGTAGATCTTCTTGGAGGACAGGTGATTTCCAACAGTCAGAGTAATCTTCTTTCGTTCTAGGAAAACAAGAAAAGACAAACTGCTGTTGGGAAAATAAATACCTTTTTGAAATTCCCTGAAGCTGTTGTCAAACATGATCCTATTTTAGACCAGCCTTTGCCAATTGGACATTGTTATGCGAATAGGAAATTGTCCCCAATGTGTTGACACAGGAGGATGCAGAACCCTTATTTAGTTGGTAATCGCCCAGAGAGAGGATATAAATTAGAAACAGCACGGCTCGCAGGCTCTGTCAAAGATGCTGTCGCAGTGTAAGCGTACCAGACAGGAAAACAAAATCAGAGGAAGCTGCTGGTAAACATCTGAAAGTCATCCACAGTGTGTGATTGCTCAAGTTTAAAAACACACTCTTCAAATGCAGCATGCAAAAATAACACCAGCCGACAGCCAATCATCAAGTTTGTTTTCGCTGCATTCACTGTTTCATCTATTTCACCATCCACTCTGGCCCCAGAAGCTTTTGGAAAATAATTGAAATATTTTACAGAGCCATTTGGCAGATACGGCAAATGTTTCTTTGTTATGCTGATTTAATTAAAATATAACCCTTTAGCATAAAGTTTCCTACCAAAAAAAGATGTCAACTTTAAACCAGTTAAACATAACCCTGACCCTAAACGCTCAGTATTACAATGATCTTCTGTTGTACCAACACATAGCGTGTTCACGTCTGTCATTCTGAGTGACCCATTCATGTTTTATCTGAAACGGGAATATGATAATGGAGCTGTACATTTTGTGGGATAAAAATATCTATAATGTACTTTGTATGCTAGGTGGCTAAGGGGTTGTTAGCATAATTTACATTACAAAGGTAACATAATGCATGTGTGTTTCTGTCTTTTCTGCTCATAGACTGTATATAAGAGGTGAGGGCTTGTCACAGTGTCGTTAGCCACTAAACCATTGGTTTGTAGAATCGCCATCTTGGTTTTTCTTTTTACCAGGAGTTACACAAAGGGTGGAGCTAAGTACAACTGAATGCTGAACAAGACATTTATATTCAAGAAAGACTGTCATGATTACATTTCATTAACTAAAACCCAATGTGAAGGGGTTAACATTTTTAAAGAAAACAAGGCGAGCACCCAGACCAAACAACAAACTGGTTGCAACTTGTCAGTCACTATTTGCACGTGCCCTAAAGCTTAATCCTTCTTTATTGTCTATTTTTATCTGAAATGGGACCTCCATTTACCAAATAAACATTGTGCTGTACAGTGGAAGACTAAAAACTACCGATTGAGACCATAAACTTGTTTTCTGAGGAACCAAATCAAGTGAGAAGTCGGGTAATTCTTTCATAGTCGTTTATAATGGTACTGCTTTTTACAACCAGTTTAGCTCAGAGAATGCAGGTTAAAGGCACATCAGCTTCACATTCTGCCTACTGTACTGCCTAACTGTGTGTGTGTGTGTGTGTGTGTGTGTGTGTGTGTGTGTGTGTGTGTGTGTGTGTGTGTGTGTGTGTGTGTGTGTGTGTGTGTGTTTTCCCCGCATTACTTTCATGCCATTAGAGAACAAAGGTTGTGAGGGGTGGCTTCGAATAATAAGCATGTTACATTATTGCCTCATAAACTAAACTCACTTAGGTCTCATTTGCTGCCTTTATGTACCGTTTCAGAATTTCCCTTAGCGTATATGCTTCCGCTTACATGCTTCGAGTTATTATAATGGAAGATTTTCTTCATCCAAAATAAATCAATGTTCATGTTAGGTGATGGCATATTTAGAAGAGTACAGGAAGTGGAGAGCAGAAAGGTACACCCTAGCCTCTTCTTTGTTTAGCTTACACACAATGGACAGAAACAACTGGTTATATAAAAAAAAAGAGATTAGATGATAAAAGGGAATAGGTGAAAATTAACTTCGGTGGATAGTAAAAACAATGTTTTAACCCCGTCTTTCAAACTGCTTTCTTGATGCACCAGAATAAAAGGAAGAAATTAGGTGCGCTTAACATTTCATAAAACTTTAATGAGAAAAAGACTCAGAGAATTAGGACTAATTGGTTGGTTTGGTTGTACAACATCCACATGACAGGGGCACCACACAGCTGTCATAACCATACCTTGTTAGTTTCAAAAGAAAAATATTCCGCACAGAAATAAATGGGCTCCAAGACTCATTGCCAGTCTCCTACTTGAATTAAGATTTAAAGGACATTGATTGTAATTGTAAATTCCCTCAAAGGTTGCAAAGTTTTCAGGGTACTTTTGAAACTGTTAAGTATGTATTCTGTGATGACTGTAGACCAGGGGTCGGCAACCCCTGGCACGCGTGCCACCAATGGCACGCGGCACCGTAACCAGTGGCACACTAGGAATAAGTGGAATAAGTGTACAAAATATTTATTTTATTTTCGGATCCTGAACGAGACCGCCGCCAGAGCGCGTCTCCCCGTTACCTGCAGAAGGAAGCCATGCGCGCAACGCAGCCCCACTCAAAAAGGCCGATCGCGAGACGTAACATACATGACACTTTTCTCTGTGTGCGGCAAAACAAGCTCGCCAAAATCGCTTCACCAGTCTGGCAGTATTTTAAGGTGTCCGAAAAAGACAATAAAATAGCGGTATGCAACGTGTGTGAAGCATAAATCCTGCAGCTCCACCCGCTGTGACGGACCGGTGAGCGGAGCAGAACACACATTAAGAGTTAGACCTTACACTCTTAGCTATTTGATCTACCTTTGGAACTAGTTATAAATATATTTATTCTTCACTGTCACTCATTACTGGATCAGTGAGCTGCATGAGATACTGACAGGCTGTCAGAGAGAGAGAGGGGGAGAGAGGAAAAGAGAGCGCTTCCGCTCATTTCCCCCGTGTTATTATCCAAAGTTAATGTAAACTTGAATAATATAGGCTACTTCATTTTAATGTAACAATTATGTTGGTTGTTGTTTGTGGAAGCGCCAGTGAATGAGCCCCATTAACTGAGTTTTAAACATCACTTTTCACGAGTGTTTTCGTCGAGCTCTTCAACACCCTCCCCCCCCCCCCCCCCCCCCCGTTGATAATTCACGATCGTCGGCACGCTGATACATTTTTTTTTTTAGAATGGCACTTCATATCAAAAAGGTTGCCGACCCCTGCTGTAGACTAACAGCATCTTTTATGGCTCATCATCCAACATACTCAATGAACTTCAGTAATTCCAATACTCTGCTGCCCACCTCCCTGTGGATATGGGTTTCTTAGCACCATTTTTTTTCTAAATACGCTTACTTTCATTCTTATGCTAAGCTAATGTAAGCTTGACTTAAAATAATAAAACATGTTATTTATATAGTGCTTTTCCTGGTGCTCAAAGCGCTTAAATGTCCTTATGATTTCATGTCATGAATTTGCCATCGATTATGTCTTCTCACAAAAATCTGAATCTTAACTTTACATTCAACCATTATTTGGTGGCCTGAGTAATACAAATTGATCCTAAAAGCTCAATTATGTTTAATAAAATCCTGATTGACCATTTTAAGTAAATTATTTTAACAACAAGCTATAGATCCAATGGGTTCAATGTAGCATTAAAACAACATCTCTCAAAATTCCAGTACATCGGATTCATTAGAAGGGGTTATTTGCAATTCATTTTAAATAATAGCATAAAGTCATAAACCAATTTTGAAGATAATCCCAAAAATAGATTACTAAGTACCACATTTGAAATAATAAAGGTATATAATTGTTCTACATCCTAGCACCACCACATACACCATATTACTCATATTCCAGTGGATCACCAACCACCTGTTGCCATATCAAATTATTCACACTCCCAGAACACATCAGAGACTGCTCCGACCTCCAAGTTTCAAAACATTCACAAAAACTCACCTTTATAGACTGGTTTTTAATGTGTGATTATTGGGTTAAATGTTGTTTTGTGAGCTCAATATTATTTTGAATTTTATTTGTTATGCTTGTAAAACTCTTTGAGCACCTATAATCTAGTCATCCTAGTGTTAAATTCCCCCAATAAAGAAATGAGGAACAACCAAAATGACCTAGGATAGAAATATAATTTATGTGATGTTTTAAAAGGCAAACTGGCTCTTGTAAAAATAGTAAAAACCAGACCACACAAACACACAAAGTGCCATACGATGAATTTGACAGAGCAGTCACTGTGTCTGCCAGCTCTGCTGACTTGCTGGACGGCTTTGAGCTCTGGGGGGGTCGATGGCTGGATATCTGAGGGAAATGCAGAGGAGGTGCCAGGAAAGATGTGAAGCAGGGATTCAAACTGTGTGTGACAGAGGTCCCCTGCCTAGAGCACAGCACTACAGCATGACAGCCCACTTCCCCAGCTCTGTTCCATCCTCCATCCTCCATCCTCCATCCCTCCTCGCCCTCTCGCTCCTCTTTAATACATTATAAAAATTCACTGCTTTCTCTCATAGGTGCCACATAACCCATTTATCACTTTTGACATTGGCACAAATGACTTTGGCTAAAGAGCAGGGATGGAACATGTGGCCCGTTTGTGTATTCAATCTGCAGACGTACTCACAGGGAGATTTGTCATTGACTAATTCCACTTCATGATGAATGGGTTTACACACCAAGCCTCTGCTACAGGTAAAGGGTCAATCTGAGTTAAGTTTTAAATGGTTGATGAACATATTCAAAGGGACTAGACTATGTGTCGGACGTTCAAAATCTAAATTAAATGTGAAAGGAGATATTTCCATAGCTCTGACATGATATTCAACTTGCTAAAGTCAATGGAGAATGTGTCCCTACTTCACCATCTGAATCAGACTTAGTGCCACATTGTCCAGTGTGGCTTGTATGGCAAGCCATTTGAGTATTTATTCCATATCCTTGATATCAGACGGCAGCTGCCTGCACTAGTTGGCTCTTTGATTTCACTTGTTAGATATACGGTCAAACTAGTTTGGCACTCTGCTTTACTAGTTAAATAAAACATTACACTAGTCACTCCTTTTCAGCAACTAGTGGCACTTTTGTCCAACTAGTTAGCACATAAG